CAATCAGCACACAAGAATACAGGCCAGTGTAACCACAATCAGTAGTGGTACACGCACCCACACAGAACTGCTGATACTGCTGCTGCTGTCTGCATCACCCTTCTTGTTGTTTGCAGTCTCAGGGGGAAGTGTTGTTGTGGTGGTGGTGGTGGCGGTGGTGGTGGATTCCTCCTCACTGGCTGTAGTTGAAGTTTCAGAGTTCGTACTCGTTGAGTTATCGTTCTCAGTTGTATCGTTGTGCGATTGAGATTCCTGTGAAGAGGGTGTCTGTTCTTGCTGAGAACGGTGTTCTTGAGTGTCAGTATTAACTGTACTGGATACAGTAGAAGAATCAGATTTTGATTCTTTTTCATTTTTCTCATTTTCATCTGCTTGTTCACTTCCTGGAGTATTCGCTTTCTCTTCTGTTGTCTTCTCTACTTTTGGTTGATCCCCACCACCTTGAGCACGGCCATTATCGCCAGATGCAACATGCAATCGATCATCACCTGTAACGCTCCCACCTTGAGGTGAACCTGCAGTACTACCAGACAACGAAGGAGGAGAATCACGTTGAAGTATTGCTGTAGAAGGATCCTGCAAAGAATTTGCGGCACCATTCTCGTGGGAATTCTCTGTTATAACGGGACGCAGCTCAACAGAGATCGATGGCCCACTTCCCTTTTGGTTGGTGTGGTTTTCCACATCGTTACGATTGCCAGTTTCTCTTTCGTGTGCCTCCTGATCTTCCACTGGAAGTTGCTCCGCCTTGGCTGGTGGTTCGCAGCGTTTCTTCTCTCCACCTACCCCAGCTGTTGCTTCACATTGTGTATCGTCTTCTCTCACACTTTCCTGCGACGTTTCTGGATCCTCACCAGCACGTGGAACAGGCTTAGCAGCAGGGCGCTGAACAAGAAGCACCTGGTCAGAACTAACAGAAGGTCCTTCAGTTTCTCCCGCGTCCACAACACTGCAGAAACAACACAGTGCAAGAAGCATAACACACAATACATAGCGCATCATTATCATTACAATAATTCTTATTGTGTCTTAATTCAGTGGTCCAAAGAAAAATAAAAGCAGAATCAATAAAAAAGAAATAACAGAAAATAACGGCATCACCCCTTGAATACAAGAGAATTATAACAAATAGCAAGAACGATAAAATGAGCAGAAGAATGAATATTTACTTTCAGAAGAAAACATATAAAACAAAAAGGTCGATAACACAAACAAATAAAATCCTCAGACATCTTGCCCATAAGCATGAACATACCATTGGAGTGCCTTCTTCTCAAGCATGATGGCCTCCA